CATGTTTTAGGTAAAGATTAATAGCTATTTTGTCAAGGTATGCAATAAAACTTGTGGCACAACGCGATTGAGAATTGAAGTTTTCAACTCAAATTTAGGCAAATGTTCAATTTGCGTTGCGTGACGATACCGGCTGCTGTCACAACAAAACCCTCAGTTATTCAAATACTTGCCACTTTTAAGTAAGATATGCCTCATTTTCCCACCAAAACTATATTAAAATTTCCTTTTTCCCTTTGCCAATGATATATATTGTTCAAAAATTAGTTCAGTAAGTAAAAGATACCTTTCCAAGCTTTATTTAATATTCCCACTGCCCCGAACATTCGTGTTAAGTCTGTTATGTCAAGACGGAAAAATACCTTTTCAGAACCAAACCTCTTCTAGCTTAAAATGTGGTCCAGTCTGAAAAAGCTGCATTGACCAGAAGTTACTCCGATCCATCATATTATAAAATCGAACGTTAGAAGAAAAGTAAATTTCTCACTGCTTAATTAAATATGCGTGAACAGGTCAGAATATTTTGACTAGTACTTCGCCACACGTAAGGGTATCAGGATTCCGGAATCTGGAAAATTTTTGCTCGTAGGATCCGGAATCCGGGAAAATTTTGATATGAAATCCGGAATCCAGGGCTTTGGAATCCAGAATAGTCCTTGCTAAGGAATGAAATCTAGAATCGAAGTTCCAGTGGAAATGGCTGGAATCCAGCACCCGGAATCCTGAATCCATGGAATGGGATCAAGAATCCAAGACTGTTTTGTATTCGCTAACATGCGGCGATAGTGCTGGACTGTGAGCGGCGAATCACTATTTTTCCCGTTTTTTACCTTCTACTGATCAGGCCCCAGTTGTTCAAAAGTTGGATAGCGCTATCCACCGGATAAATCACTGTCCAACGGATAAGTGTTAGGGAAACCAATTGCGCTATCCACTGGATAGTAATTTATCTGGTGGATAGCGGTATCCACCTTTTGAACAACTGGGGCCAGGAGCCCACATTTGAAGACTTTGTTAATGAAATTTCAATTAGAAAGTTTCTTCCATTTATTTTGTTTCTTCCTATTAACAGTGGTCAGCTTTTGTTTTCATGCTCCAAGAGACAGTCTGGAGTCTAAGGCCCAGTTCAGACGTCGTGCTTCTGCCGTGTCGAACTAAATTCAGGAATTAAGTTCGACAAAAGCACGGCAGAAGCACGACGTCTGAATCAAACTTTTCGTATACTATCTATTTTAAAGGATGGGATCACGTACGTATAAAATCGTAAAATCATTTCTTATATCCTTATCATTTATCTGTGATAAGCTAACGACAAAAGGGCCAATGGGTATTGTCATATTCGTAATTTCAAGTTCAGACAATGATAAACTCTTTTTATTTTGAAATATGCGAGAAGTGAAGATCCAAACATAATGAAGTTATGGAGAAAAGTAGGAAGTGGTATTAAGTCAAATATCTTGATATTAATCACTGTTGCACTATGGCGTAAAGTTACACAGTCAGCTGATGCACTTGCACATTTGATATCATTTATGAGCTGACGGATTTGAATACCACAAGATACACGCGTGAAACAGAAAGTGATAAGCGCATATCTAAACCTAATTTGGAATCGGAGTTGAATTGCCAAAATCGTAATTACCTACCTCTAGGCATATTTATTTACTGAGAGTACTCATGACAATTGTTTGGTACTATGGAGAATTCACCGACAGAATTTTCTATTGAAGCCCAACGTGGACAAAAACCTCTCAATTCGAACAATCAGTAGAGGTGAGAACTGACGTGAAGTCTGAATCCGATATTAGAGACCTTTAGCATCGGGTAAACCGCAAACCGCAAACCACAAACCGCAGTTACGCGTTTGCAGTTTCGCGTTGCCGAGATTTCACACTTTAGCAAGGCGTTCAGTTCAGTTCAGTTCAGTTCATTTTTATTTAGGCAAAATATAATACAATACAAGAATACATATAGGAATTGTAAGATTGCAAGGGAGCCCAGAAGAAACCAGAAGGCTTTATGAAGCCTGGGCTCCCCAGTCTCAAAGAAATAAACAAAATAAAATGAAATTCGCGGAGTGATACGTTAAAAATAGGAACTAAACAGAGACTGAGTTAAGATATGAATTCAGTAACAAGATAGAAAAAAAAATTAACACAGGATTGGAACAGAATACTTTCCTTTGTTAGTACGGCAGAAACGAATATAACATTGATTTGAACTACGCGTTCATTGTTTAGGGCCATGTTGTTTTCATCAAGTCGAAGTGCATCACTTTAATCGCCCAAAACTCAGCAATAATTCATTGATTCGAGATCAAAAATCCAACAAACACATCGCAAACGGATATAAAAAGCTAGTTCATACCTTTAAACGCGAGGCTGTACAATTTTTTGTGGCAAAAAACCTTGCCGTAAATCACTTACCGCTGGAAGCCTCTCCTGCGGTTCAAACGTGAACTGCAAACTGCAAACGTGACCGCAAGGCCGTGGTCACGTGACATTTTGCGGTTTGTTACGTCTTTTCTCGTCTCACGTCTTGTTAGCGGTTATTACCCTGTTCTTACAGACGCTTGCATTCTACCACGTTAATGATGTAAAAATACATACATCTGAACAGCAGCTGAAAGATCTAAGATCACATTTTTAAAAATCGGCCTTTGGACCCTCCTTGTGGATCCAAATTCATATTGATATCAATTTTTTTATAATTTCGTTTTTGCGACTCTAGTGCGGCGCTCATTTGATACATCAGCCTACCGCGGACAATGTTGTTCAGCCACTCAGAGAGGATCTTATTGCTTTTATATGTCTGCATACCGAGATGCTATGACAAAGAATATAAAGACTCACATACTTCACAAATCTTATGAAAAAAAAAACAAAAACAAAAAACGAGCGAGATTGCATGCGAGTAAACAAAGATCTGGTACAAATTTCCCTAAAATAGTCAAATGTAAATCCCCTAGTCGTTCAAAGCTTAACAACTTGACAGGCTAACGGTTTTATTCAGTGGTGGTATAAACAGGTTACAACCGAACACTGTCTGGCTACCCAGTCACTTCACTCACTGTCCATGACGGAATTGATAGTGTACAGCATTACCAGCATAGCACTAGCACTGTACATAGGCAATCAGATTTGTGATCGAAGGCCGGTAGATTCATACATCTTAAAATTTATACTAATATCAAATTCCTAAAGGTTTCCGGACACTAATTAATTCAATGTACATTTCACAGCTGATTTCATTTTTTTTAAGGGCAAATAACAATTTACTTGATAAGAATTTATAAGTACGAGACTTATTGTGCCGTAGACGTGATTAGCGGGTTGTTGATTTTACTTCTTTGAACTCCAGTCCATTTTTTTTAATTTTTTCTTCAAGGACTACCGTGTACCATCGTCCCATATATATAGTTTAAAGGTGAATGTGTGAAGGACCTTCTAGCTACACCCGTCACTAGACAGGAGAAACATTGTTCTCGTTAATGTTATCTGTAAAACAAAAATGTTCGTTAAAACGCGATTGAAGTATGTCGAATAGCCTCTTCCAGACGTTCAGACTGTGGAGGTGACCCTCCGAGTGATGCCAGTAAGAAAAGGGCGAGGGGGTGGGGTAGGGAGTAATGCGTATTTTTCCCGACCCACTCTACTAATAAGAATGCCAACTACTGGGAGTCGAACAAAGGACGGGCCGGCCGAGACTATTAATACGAAGGTCAGTGGAAAAGTAAACTTAATCTTCTATAAGCTTAGCCTATTTCCGATTTTTCTTGTTGATCACGCAAAAAAAAAAAAAAACAGAAAAATTGTCATTTGTAGGATCATGAAGAATTTTTTTATCTATCACAGCGGCCAGCAGTGTCACGCAATGCGAATTCAGCATCAATATGAAAATTTAAGTAGAATCCTTGAATTCTGAATCGCTTTGTGCCACAAGTTTTATTTCATAACTAGACAAAATAGCTCTTAATCTTTAACTAAAACATGTTTTAGGTCTAGTTTAGGTGCCACTTTTCAGAATTTTGTCATGTTTTTGAGGCATTTATTCGTGCTTCTTGCTTTCTTAATTGGGTTAGTGAGCTAAAGACGACCAGTTTTTGCTAAACAGAGAAAGATAATGCCTAAATGGTATTGGAATAGTAAGAAGAAGTAATATGCTTCCAAATGAGTGCGAACAGTCTAGGGTTTGATGACCCGAAGTACTTTTAAACGACCGTTAAAAAACCTGTAAAACAGCATCTAAAATTTGCATATTTTAGCCGCTAAAGGTCGTCCAGCAATGAAATACTGGGAATGGCAATAAAATAAACAATTTCCTCATTCTAACTGCAGTTTCGTTATTAGAATAGATAGTAGTGTTAATGATGAAAATATAAGGCAAAAGTTTTTTCGAGTTCAAAATCGAGTGGAACGCTTTTAGGTAGACTGCCTCTTAAGTCCTTATTTTAGTTTGTTAGAGAAACAGAGGATTGTCTTCAAAACTTTTTTGATATGTCTATGTGAAATATTTCATATTCAAGATTGCTGGCAATAACAAGCATATTCAAGTTGCTTTGAGATTTACAAAAAAATTTAAAACGAAGGATACGCAGCGTTTCCGGGAGAAATTTAAAGCTCAAAAACACGATGAGATTACTTTTATTCAGGGTTTTATTGTACCTGGAAATGATAATAGCTGCGATAATTATGAACTAAGGTAAAAGAAAGTACTGGAAACCATCCAAAGGGGTTAGGGCTCGGGCTAGGCAATTATTATTACTCTTCAAAATTTATAGCAAGATACAAGACTATGTCACGTGATATAATATAAGTCGTGCTCCAGGAATCGTGAATCATGGCGAGGATCACAATCCTGTTTAATTTCACCTCCTTCAGTTAAGTATTCCTCAAGACCTTCGCTGCCTTCTCATTATTTCGAATGATATATCTATATTTTTTGCTATCTTTTTTTTACATATTTTAATATTATTATGCACAATAGAAGGGATTAATTACCTAATCACTTCTATTTCCATTCGTTATAGAATGTCCATAGTCTTGCAAAATTTCTTCCATGATTATGGTATCTTCAGTATTTTCAGCAGAATATGTTTTGCCAATTGGGCTGTCTTTCTCCGCTCCTTTCCTTGCTATGTTGTACCAACGTCTCTTGAGGTGAAATGTCACCAACAGTATAAAGACTGCAGAAACGAACAGTATTCCTGCCAAAACGATTGCCAGGATCATCGGAACGGTGAAAAATTGCGCTTGTCGCTCTGAAAAGTGAACAACAGTGAGTTTCTACCCTTTGAAACCGGGAGTGCATGTCATGGGCACCTGTTTGAAACCCGATAGATGCGCGAGGAACGGGTAGGGGCGAAAATTAGGAAGCTTAAGCAACTACGACTACGACGACGATGATAACGACAACGTCAAAAAAACAATTGGTCTTATTAGCAAAACAACTGCTCTGCAAGTTTATCACGCTTTTTAGTACGTTTCTTTGATGTCCACTGTACGACTACGACGTGAAACCTCCCTCCTTTCTCTGTTTGAACATGGATAAAGCCCTTAACAATTCAACTCCAGGAAAATTCGTCTACATTTGACGAATTGAGCGATTCCAAAATGACTCGATAAAGTTTAAAAGGACGAAAATTCATTTTTTATTGACGTTTTCAACGCCGTCGTCGTCGTTGTTTCTTAAGCTCCCTAATAAATAATGACGACGACGAAGGCGGACACGATGATGACGAACACGATGACGACGAAGGTGATGATGATGATGATGATGATGATGGTGATGATGATGAATGGAAAGGACTAAGAAGAAGAAAACGGTGAAAATGATCATGACTATGATGATGTCAAAGAATAAGACAACGAAGACGCCGTCAACGATAATAATAATTATTATGCGTCATTTATTATACCATTAATGCCACCATGTAATTAATTATTATTACAATACTGTTATATTCCCCTTTAAGAACGTAACTGCTAAACTGGAAACTTTAAGATGACTACAGGGAATATCGAATCTTCTACAGGGTGTTTCAAAAGTTCGTAACCGATTGTAAATTGTATTTTGCGTAAGCTTTTAAAGCTTCTTTAGACAAATGTAAACTGATTCAAATAAGAAATTTATCTAAATAACCTTTTATAGCGATTTCAAACTAAAATTTGTAGAAATTTTAATATTTTTGAAGTTTTGCCCCAAATGTGCATAAGCACGAGTTTTTTCCCGCCATATTTTTCCTGCCCATTTTGTACGTTTTCTATTTTTGTTTTTGTTTTTGTTTTAGTTTTTGCCTTTTTCTTTATTTTCTGTACTCTTTCACGAAAAAAGTTAAAAATGTCATTTCAACCTTTAAATCCCCAATTCAATCAGTGCGAAATTAGTTTAATGCAATAGTGTCTGTCATTGCAGTTTTCTTCCACTGCTGCCACTTGTGAAAGGACACCAAAAGAAAAATGGAGGCATCCACAAACGCCGTTACACTTATTGCCATAGCAACGATCGTCAGTGGAGTAAATAAGTCTGCCAAGCCGGTCTTTTCTGAGAAGAGACCAGATGAAAGGGTGAATCAGATCTATTGATGAGGGTTTTGCATTTATTCCAGCCTTAAACAATGTGCAATGCAGTCCAATGATGAGACCTTTATGTTCAAGGGCAAGGACGACTACGCGAGGACGAATGCTAACTTCTCAAGTTTCTTTAGTAAGCGGAGCGAGTTTGTTAGGCTGCGAGCGGCGAAGTCGCGAGAGGTCGACCTCAAAGGACTTTTTTAAAAGTCTATCAAAAAATCTCCGCCTTGTAGTCAACCTCGTCCTTGAATCTAATGAGCAGCACTATAATTTAACCATCCGACGTACATGCAAATTCATACCCCCCACCATGGTACTTGGGGGGGGTTGGTGCCCCCCCTCTCCCCCCTGGGTTTTTGATATGCTGCAATATTTCGAAATGATTTTGCCTTCATTGGAAAGCCTTTGATCTTCTCTACAAGATGAGGTATATTTCATGGGTGGTGCGCAGCGGGAGGTCTCTGACGTCACCAAACATGGTCGCCAAGATTTTTGAAATTAGGTTCAAACAGTGAGAATTAATAAATGTTTGCGCTTAACATGAAAAATAACACAAATAATTACTTTGCATCATTTTAACCACAAGCTTTACTTTTTTCCTGAAAGAAGTTGAAAATAACATGCATTTTCATTCATAAATGGCTTGACCACCTGATACTTATGACGTCATATCTCATAACCATAGTAACTGGCCATCACTAAACTATCTCAAAATGCGCACGAGGAATAAACGAACAATTACAGAAAACTTCCGGAGCTGATGTTTTATCGTCTAGGAAAAAATGAGAAAAACCTTAGGGGACTTTTTACGTTCGAGGGTTATTACGATGTACAAATACAATCAAGGACCACAGCCTCCCAATGGCCTTACCTTGAGTGGCAGCTTTTGATGCGGCGCTGGTTTGAACTAGAACTGATGCCAATGCAGTCTGAGAATTCCATACATACAGCACAAATTTATAAAGTGTTGATGGCTGCAACTCCGATACAGTCACGTGATTGTCTTTAAGACCCTCTCTTCCAGGCCAATAACGAATGTCACTGCCGCAGGTTTGCATACATTGGTGTTGTATATTGTCTCCCCCATCTTGGCATTTGAAGCACATTATTTCGAAGCGATCATAACTTGAGAACTTGTGCGGATTGTCAACCGTTCGCCATGTGAGAACGGCCGTGGCATCGTCAACAAAAGTTTTATCTAGAATCATTTTGGCTGCAAAAGATTTCATTTATTATGTCCAATAGGAATCTTTATATCTACAGAATTACCACTTCTGATGATTAAAACGAGCAAACAAAAAAGTCTTTGCATTTCTTAAAATCAGGACAAGAAGAATAACGCAGGAGCAAGGATGGTACAGTTTTCTGGTGAATGGTCTTCCGGGTGCAGGAGGGTTCGAGTTCTTTTTTTTTTTCCACCATTAAATAGCTCGAAATATAATGCTAATGAAGAGATATGCGTATAAATAAACGAACATACGTCCCTCTTCGCCCCCACCCCCCCCCCTCTCCCAACCAAAAATGAATAAATAAATAAATAAACAAACAAAAAGATAGACAGACTTTCCTATCCTTACCTGAAAGTTTAGTTCCAAACTGAATCTCTACAATTCTATTGGAGTTCGGTCCATATAAGTAACTCACACCATTTTCTGCGGCAACTCTTAAAACGTACGACGTGTTTGGCTGAAGGCCGGTCAAGGTCACGTGAGTCAATTTGTTGTTTTCTTTTTTTGGCCAGTATTGCATTCTGCCATCGCAAGGCTGTCTGTTGTTACAGTTTCCATTTGAATCGCACTGAAAGCAAGTGATGTCATATACCACATCGGATCGTCCTCCGCTATCTGATGGTGGCATCCAAGCCACTACAATTACTGACAGATCTTGAAATATAACTGACAAGTTTCTTGGTGCAGTAGGGGGTGCTACACAGGATTAAACATTGAGAGAATAATTAACATAAAAACAGTTAATGTTTTATGCATCTGTCCGTTTTAAAATCTCTTTGAGGTAATCCGTCCTCGTTGCCTCTTCCCATTATATTTATATTTTTTAATACCATTAACTTTATTTATTTATTTATTTATTTATTCATTTATTTAAATTACCAGCAAAATAAGTTACCTTGGGTTGACGAAATTTACAAGATATTCACTTTTTTAAACAAGCAGTATTTCTATAAGACTAAATACAATTAATATTGTCAGTATAAATTATAACTGACTTTAAAGACATGGGCAAATAACACAAACTAGTAGATATTTAAGCTCGAAACTTTTTCTCTTTTTTTTTTTTTTTGTTTATCGTTATTATCATTCATCGTCGTCATCACTATTAATTTTTTATCAAGTTCGTCATCACGTGATCTACGCGTCAATACAAAGCAAAGCATGGTGACATCACAGCTGTGTTTTGCAAGAACACTTACCGGCCGAATCAGGGCACGGGTATTATCTTTTAAATTATTCTAACATTGATCTCAAAAAAAAAAAAAAACAAAACTATTCACCCCTTGCTATCTACGCATGACGTGAGCCTACGTAACATGAAGTATCCGAGTAACTAAAAGTCTTTTAGTATGACGCCAGTGTCCCAAACTGAAAGTTACAGCATACCTGTGCATTTGCCATCCTTGTTATCTTTTGGTCCTCTGTAATAACCTGAGTTACAGACACAATTCTGTTTGGAATGGTCAGAATTGCTGTTCTCTGGACACGCAGCGCACACCGAATTACTAAGCACTTGCTTGTAAGTACCGGGAGGGCAAGCTATAAGAAATACATATAGCGACGTCAGGTAGACGAAGAACCTCTTAGTGGATATGCTACCTCCAAATCATTATTTATTTATTTATTTATTTATTTAACAATTAATGAATGAGGCTGCGTATCATATGAAGAATTATGGAGATCGAGGAGGGTGTTATCCGTCAAGGCCGTAGGCCGAGGCGCATAACACCCTCCGAGATCTTCATAATTCTTCATATGATACGAAAGCCGAATTCAAACAGCATTTAAGAACCCGTATTTAAGTTACAAACAAAAGCAGGAGACATCCCAAAGAGTCTCTTGAAATGGAACTCCAATACCCAATATACAGGGTATGTATTTGAATTTGCCGCTAAAGGTGCCAACATAGCACTTAATGTTTACTGAAAAAACACATTACTACAAGGAGTTCTTTGAAAAACATCAATGCGTATTGAGAAAAAAAAATGTAAATGTTCAAATCTTAAATTTCAGTCTTTGTCACTCCCGCTCTACTGATCGCAAAATTGACGTTATTCACTAATTTACTAACATGTTTTGCCTTCCAGCAGCTGTTTCAGCTTGTGAACTAGACAATATATCTCTAGAACTCCATACAAGTTTCCTTGTTTCTTATCTGTTTGAGTGTTAAAGCGTGGTAGGGCGACTATGTTAATTAGAGCAATCAGTCCTTAAACCCTGGGGCATTCTCCATGTTCTTTAGATACAATTCAAGTAGACTTACCTTGGCAACCCTGAGAAGTAATTTGATAGCCAGGTTTACAGAAACACTTCGCTTCATTCTCAGGTTTTCTCCAGCTTCCGTTGCTAAGACATTCTATATACAACGATGTTGAATTGCGCAGACTCGCTGAGTTCACCCCACAGTTTCCATACACCTTTAGAGCACCACCAAGAGGAGGAGAAGGGGTTCGGCTATAACTTGCCCCTCCAATTATCTGGGCGGGGCATACGTTATAAGAGACTCGAACTTTACCAAGAGCAATACAGCCCCCAGTATCCTGAAATCCCAAATAAATCCCCCTGGTCTGGACACTAAATTGCGCCGTTGCGTTGTTATAGATTCTGGCTTGACCTGATGACCAAACATTCAGTGCTCTAATTTGAGAAGCTAGAGAGAAGTGTCCTGCAAGAATAGTTGACTTTTGCACTCCAGATGGGACTATGCTGTCTGTCTGGTAATAATGTAAGTTGAAGGACTGTTTACAGAAAGGTAATGATTGCAGATCGCATTCCCTTGCAGTAAATTCCACATAAACTGTCACAGATATAGCGCCTTGTAGGTCGATAAAGTTTGATATCAACCAGCTGTTCGTACTTTTTGTTGCGGTTTCTTGGAGATCACAAACCAAATACTCGCCTGTCTGCGAACTACGACTCCACTTAAACAAACAAAGTAAAATAAATAAGTTAATAATAAATAAAACGTTTTTTCTTTCAAACGAAATAATATTTCGTATAATATGTATATACTATATACATTTGGTATATTTCATACGTAGTTTATGTTGCTTTTCCTTCTTGTCTTCGCTGCGAGGATCGATTTGTTTTTTTTTTTCCTCTATTTTTCTCATCACGAGGAGCACGAGGACATGCCTCTGTCGTGGTAAATGATTTTTTTTTTTCGGATTTTCCGTTTTTTTTTTGGTAGTGAAGAATCCATATGATCTGGGATCACAAATCCGTTTTTGGATTCTCCCAAAAAAACGTACCGATAATTATTTCGAAGTTGCCGCGCTTATTAGGGCACTTATTTGCAATTTTTGGTCCCAAATGCTGCGGTTATTCAAAGAAATAAATAAATAGTTTATTTATCGAATAGTAAACTCCTTAGAAATGTAAAATTATAAGAATTTAAAACTGAAACCGATAATCAATTTAAGTAAGCAGACATTACATTCGTACAAAAGGCATGACAGAGTTAGGCGGTTTAACGTAGTCTACGTTATGTCATGTAACCTGTGGCTAAAGTTAAGGCGCCACCAACATATATAGGTTCAGTTAGAATGTCATCTATGTACGCCATCTGTTGCGTACCATTTTTTTTTCGAAAGACCGCTTGTCAAAAATACTTTTTTGAAATCCTTTCCCCCAAAAAACCGCTAAGGTTGTGAATCTCAAAAACCCAGATTTGTATTTGATCCGAAGAACCCACCCTGGGGGTGGATTTTATTGGTTCTTGGTCCGTTTTTAGATTTGCCCCCCCAAAATGAAAAATCCCTTTTTGGTTTCGAAAATCCGGATTTTCTTTTATTTATGCGTTATTGCACGGAATGAACACTATACTTAGAAGGTTTGTTCTAAATCAGTTTTGCTGTTCCCAAGAATGTATGCAAAATCATTGCTTTATACAAAGCTGACTCTAAAATATGATTTTCTGTAACAGTAACCAATGTCATTTACGTAAGGTGTTCATAAAACTAGCAATGTACAATTTTTAGCGTTTTTCACTTATAAGCCTGACATACAATTGTCAAGTGAACTATGTTCGTTTCAGCTTATTTCTTGATTCGATGTGACCTTTTATCACTAAACCCTATTCTTTTCATTTGCAATTTTCCTGTACTTTTTTGTTCATACGATAACGACAAAGAGTTTTATAAGTAAACCGATTTTTTGGTGTACCACGCTTATTACATTGTATATTCAAATACATTCAAAAGGCCGGCTAAATAAGCTCCTCCCCCTGCTCCTAATTGTTTGGGTTGCCTTCGCCTCATGCCTCTGCACGACTCCCTGTCGGCTAAAAGGAAATTTGAAAGACTGCTATGCAGGACACATTTTCGTTTTTATTTTCATTTACTCTCTACAATTTTTTATAAGTATGTAAAGATATAAAAAACACAAAGATTTTTACAAGTCTGACTGTTTTTTTTTTTTGTACCACTCTTAATATATACATATACTTTGTTCTGGCAAAATGGTGGTTAGAACGGCTGAATATATACCTACTTGGAAATAAAATGATGTTGTTTGGTTTTCCGTTAAAACATTACGTAAGAGTGACGCGTGTCTGTTCAAATTGTGACAAAACCACGTCACAAAGTCAAAGCAAAAGAGAAAGAAGTGTAATTTTCATAACCAACTTACGCTCTCTCCATTATAGACAGCTACCAGGGCCATTGGGTCACTGCTTGATGGTGTAATTATCCTTCCACTGAGCACTGGCATTCCTGGGTCATTTCTTTTATTTTTGACATTAGAACAGCTTTGAAATCTCTAGATTCAAGCTGGGTTGAAAAATTCTCATCCCTTACCCTTTCAGAAGACGACAGTACCAATGTTATCGAGAGACAGGGTAGCGAACTTTTCGAGTCGAATTTATGTGAAGGATGGGCACTTCATAAGCCAAAAGGTGACGCTGTTCGCTTCTAAGAGAAGTAAGGTAGTATCTCACCTCCAAGTTT